AAGAGAGGGGTAGGCATGGCATAGTTATTAACAGGGTACTTGAAATACCCTCATCCCATATTGGAGTGCTTGTGTTTGAGTCCTGGCTCCACTCCCAATTCCAGCTTCCTGCTAACCCACCCTCTGTGGGAAGCAGGAGATGGCTCAAGTACTTTGATCCCTGTCAACTCAATCTGAGATCCAGACTGAAATCCTGGCTTGGCCAGGACCAGCCCAAACTATTTCAGGCATTTGGGGAATAACCTGCAGATCATAGATCCGTCTCTCTCTGTGTGTCTCTCTTACTCTTCAAATAAAATAAACAGAAATCGTTTTAAAGATAAAAGCAGAAGACAGAAATGATTTAAAAAACAAGAATTGGGGTTGGGGTTTGTTATGTTAGTTTAAAATAAGTAGTTAAGATGCCCACTGTGATGATCATATCCCATACTGAAGTGACTGGACTGAGTCTGGTTACACAGTTTCTGATTCAAGTTCCTGTTAACGCACACCCTGAAAGACAGCAGGTGATGGCTCAAATACTTGGGTTCTTCCACACTGGTTGGAACCCAGAGTTCCTGTCACCTAACTTTCCTGGCCTAGCCATGGCTATTTGAGAAATTTGGGGAGTGAACCAGCAGACGGAAGATCTTTCTCTGTCTCTGTCTTCCCATTAACCAAAAAATAAGACTTTAGAAAAACAAGAACTACAACAGAAAATGATTATAATTATAGAAAATATTAATCTAATGATATAAATAACATTAAATGCATATTATCTAAATATATCAATTAAAAGAGCAACGGTAGTGAGACCCTGGTGAGGTTGGAGAGTTGCTGGAACCACAACTGCCATGGGGCCCTGGGGAGAGCCAGAGCCCCTGGTGTGGTGCTTAGAGGCTGTGGCTTTGGAGCCCCAGTGCCCGGGGGGCTGGAGGCCCTGGTGCTGCTGCTGGTGCTCACCCTCCTCTGAAGCCTGGTGCCCCTCTGCATGCTGTGGCAGCCTGGAGCCAGCCATGAAGCCTCAGGTTCCCTCCAGAAAGCCCTGAGCCTAGTGAGCTGCTTGGGTGGGGTGTTTTTGGCCACCTGTCTCCTGGACCTGCTGCCTGACTACGTAGCTGTGATAGATGAGGCCCTGGGCAGCCTTGCACATGACACTCCAGTTTCTCCTACAAGAGTCCATCTTAGCCATGACATTCTTCCTGGTCCTCGTGATGGAACAGATCACCCTGGCTTACAAGGAGCAGTTGGGGCTACCACCACGGGAGGAAACAAGGGCTCTGCTGGGAACAGTGCATGGTGGGCCACAGCATTGGCAAGATGGTCCAGGCATCCCACAGGCACATGGAGCCCCGGCAGCCCCTCAGCCCTGCGTGCCTGTGTACTGGTCTTCTCTCTGGCCCTGCACTCAGTGTTTGAGGGGCTAGCAGTGGGGCTGCAGCAGGACCAGGCTCGGGCCATGGAGCTCTATCTGGCTTTGCTGCTCCACAAGGGTATCCTGGCTGTTAGCCTGTCTCTATGGCTGCTGCAGAGCCACCTGCGAGTAAAGGTCATGGCTGGCTGTGGGATCCTCTTCTCAAGCATGACACCTCTAGGCACTGGGCTGGGTGCAGCTCTGGCAGAGTTGGCAGAACCTTGCACCAGCTGGCCCAGTCTGTGCTAGAGGGCATGGCAGTGGGCACCTTCCTCTATATCACCTTACTGGGAATCTTGCCTCAGGAGCTGACCACTTCTGAGCAGAGGGTCCTCAAGGTCATTCTGCTCCTAGCAGGCTTTGCTCTGCTCACTGACCTGCCCCTCACTCAAATCTAGGACACATCAAGAGAGGGGCAGGGGAGGTTGATTAGCAGGTGTCGCTGCCCTCCCTTCCTCCCCTCCCCCAAGTATGTGGGGGGAAGAAGGAATGGGGAAGGGAGGTACTGAGGACCACAGAGTTCTCTGAGAGGTAGGGATGGAGGCTTTGGAATTATCTCGACCAATGAGAAGGCAGTTGTCGCTCCCCCTCTTCGCAGAGGAACGACACAGGACCCTGCGTTGTTCTTTTGTCTGCTCGGCCCTCCCCGGGTTTGCTGCTGGTTCTTCCTGGGTTGGCTACCGTCCCTTCCACCTCCGTGGAAGGGCGGTTCCCCCTGCCACTTTCCCCACTTCCGCGGGGAAGCGGCACACCGCCGGCCGGCTCTCTCGGGGGCTGCTCAGGTGTTCCTTCAGATAGATGTCCCTGGTGCATGTTGTCTCTCTCCTCCTTTATAGTCCTCTTCCACCAATCCCAACTCTGCTACCCACATGCCGAGTACGCTGCTCTCCTCCAATCAGGAGCAGAATCAGCTCCTGCAGGTCATCACTCAAGTTGGCGAGAGACAGCTGCGTAGAAGCTGTTTACTCCTCTCCCAGCGCCATATTGTTGGAGAGCAGATGCATAGAATAAGTCTTAATTCCAGTAACTTAGTCTAGTCCGAGTTGCTCCCCACAGGCAGTGGCAAAGGCTGGCCCAAGAAACAAGACAGTTAAGTCATTAGAGAGATGATCAGAGGACACTGACTGGTCAGGGACTATGGATAGGGACAGACTGACACTAGGAAAGCTAGAGGTAGAACCATGCTGCTATGGGGTAAGCGTAAGAGGAGAACATGGGCCCAGAGTCAGTGTCCTATTGGGTTTAGCCCATTTCAATTCCAGCACCTGCCACTGGAGTGGACTCCTCCTGCTCTTGTACTCATATAATTTTTCCCGCTTCCCTTCTCCCAGGGGAGTAGTACCAAATGGTCTCTCCTTGGCAGTTTTGTTACCTTCTAGGGCATCTCCAGTTCTGCACACTCCTCTATTTCTAAAGTGCCAAATAGCTTCCTTCCTTCTTCTCAAAGCACAGTGATGTGGCAGTGAGCCCTGCCCAGCACCTCAGTAGAGGGAATCTGCTTTATTTTGGTCCCAGATCCTTGGGGGAGAGTGGGGAGCAGAAATGTTTGCCGGGATGTGTGTTGGGGGACTGTTGGAGAGCTGGGGCCACCTACCACTGCTGCACCTTAGGAATATGGAACATGGACATGGTGCCCCAGGCACAGATGATAAATACTGAGCTACCAAAACTTTTTTTGTTTAATACTGGAGGAGCCCAAGTGGATAGGGAGATTTCTACCCACCAGGGTTATTTTTGGGGAAGGAGGGCTATGCATCAGGCTGTATTCTCTTGAACCTATTTTTACTAACTGACCTGTTTTGGGACATGCTACCCAAATAACAAAAGGTTTATACAAAAAAGAGAGTAACATAGGAAAATTAAAAGTTAAGATGGGGCTGGCATTGTGGCATAGCGGGTTAGGCCACCATCTACAGTGCCAGTATCCCATATGGGCACTGGTTCGAATCCCAGCTGCTCCTCTTCTAATCCAGCTCCACATTAAATGAGCCTGGGAAAGCAGAAGTTGGCCCAACTGCTTGGGCGTCTGCATGCACATGAGACCCAAAAGAAGCTCCTGGCTTTGGATTGACCCAGCTCTAGCCATTGCAGCCCTTTGAGGAATGAACCAGCAGATGGAAGCTCTGTCCCTCTCTCAATAACTCAGCCTTTCAAATAAATAAAAATAAACCTTAAAAAAAAAAGACCCTTGGGGCCGGCACCATGGCGCAGTAAGTTAATCCTCCGCCTGCGGCATCAGCATCCCATAAGGGCACTGGTTCTAGTCCCGGCTGGCTGCTCCTCTTCCAATTCAGCTCTCTGCTATGGCCTTGGAAAGCAGTAGAAGATGATCCAAGTCCTTGGGCCCCTGTATCCATGTGGGAGACCTGGAAGAAGCTCCTGGCTCCTGGCTTTGGATAGTCACAGCTCCAGCCATTGCAGCCATCTGGAGAGTGAACCAGCAGATGGAAGACCTTCACCCTCTCTCTCTCTGCCTCTACCTCTCTGTTACTCTGCCTATTAAATAAACAGATCTTTTTTTAAGATTTATTTTATTTATTTGAATGACAGGGTTACAGAGAGAGGTAGAGACAGAGAGAGAGGGGTCTTCCATTAGCTGGTTCATTCCCCAGATGGCTGCAATGGCCAGAGCTGCGCCAATCTGAAGCCAGGAGCCAGGAGCTTCTTCCAGGTCTTCTAAGCAGGTGCAGGGGCCCAAGGACTTGGGCCATCTTCTACTGCTGTGACAGGCCATAGCAGAGAGCTGGAATGGAAGAGGAGCAGCGGGGACTAGAACCAGAACCCATATGGGATGCCAGCGCTTCAGGCCAGGGCATTAACCCACTGTGCCACAGTGCTGGCCCCAACAAATCTTTTATTTAAAAAAAAAGACACACTTTAAAAAAAAGTCACATTGGCCAAAGGATAAAAATTTTATCTGTATAAGAAGAATAATTTTAAGAGGTCTGATGTACAATATAGTGACAAAAATTAATAACAATGTATTCTATTTACATTAATGAGGAGATTATATTTTAGCATTTTACCATAAAAAATAAATATGTGGGGGCTGGCATTGTGTCCCAGTGGGTTAAGAAACCATCTGCTATACCAGCATTCCACGAGTGCTGGTTCACGGCCCAGTTGCTCCACTTCTGATCTAGCCCCCTGCTAATTCACCTGGGAAAACAGTGGAAGATGGCCAAATCCTTAGGCTCCTGCCACCCATGTGGGAGACCAGGATGGAGTTCCAGGTTTCTGGTTTTGGCCTAGCCCAGTCCTGCCATGTGGCCATCTGAAAAGTAAACCAACAGAAGAAAAAATCTCTGCCTCTTCTGCCTCATCTCCTCCCTCTATAACTTTGTCTTTCAAATAAATAAATAAAATCTTTAAAAATAGGTATGTGACAAAATGCATACCATTAATTAGCTTAATTTATCTATTCCTCAGTGTATAAGTAGTTCCAAACTTCATTTTATACGGTAAAGACATATCTGTCAACGTAAGATATACATATAGGTATTTTAAAAGACAAGCAAAGAGATGTAAATTTAAATATATACAGAAATATAGGGGGGCCAGTGCCATGGCTCACTTGGCTAATCCTCTGCCTCCAGCACCAGCATACCTTATGGGCGCCGGGTTCTAGTCCCAGTTGCTCCTCTTCCAGTCCAGCTCTCTGTTGTGGCCCTGGAAGGCAGTGGAGGGTGGCCCAAGTGCTTGGGCCCCTGCACCCAGATGGGAGACCAGGAGGAAGTTCCTGGCTCCTGGCTTTGGATCGGTGCAGCCTGCTGATAGTAGCGGCCATTTGGGGGGTGAACCAATGGAAGGAAGACCTTTCCCTCTGTCTCTCACTGTCAAATCTGCCAGTCAAAAAAAAAAAAAAGAAATATATTATAGATCATTATAACACCAGTCCAAAGAAACCTGGAATACTTATACCTATTTCAGACAAATCAGGATTTAGGTCAGAAATATATGCAGAGTTACATAATGATACAGCAGGCAGTTCTCTGAAAAAACATTATAATGCTTATAGATAATAGAACATCACACTAAATAAGGCCAAAACTCATAGAATTGCAAAGAAAAATACAGGTACACCATTGCTAAACAGTGTAAACAAAAACAGTTATATAACAAACAAGTGGTTATTATTATTTAGCAAATGTGTAATCACACAGAGATGCCAGTTAATACCAGATTAAAAAAAAGTCAATAAATAAGGTCACTCCTCCAAGTTTTGGTATACTGTAAAATAAATACACAGACATGAAAAAGTATATGATTTGTCTACTGTATTAACACTTCCCACTAAATTTCAGATTCTTCCGTCTATAAAACAATGGAATTTTCCCAATTTATAAAAAAAATTATCTTGCATTACCTCTTGCAGAATTAAAACCAAAAAATAAAATTATCACCAACATCAAAAATAAACTTGAGGGGCCGATGCTGTGGTGCAGCAGGTTAAGCCGCCAGCTACAGTGCAGGTATCCCATATGGGCGCCAGTTTGATTCCCAGCTGCTCCTATTCTGATCCAGCTCCCTGCTAATGTACCTGGGAAAGCAGCAAAAGATGGTCCTTGGGCCCTGGCCACCCATGTCAAGACCTAAATGAAGCTGCTGGCTTTCATCTGGCCCAATCTAGGACATTGCAGCCATTTGGGGAGTGAACCAGCTGATGGAAGTTCTCTTTCCTTCTCTCTGTCACTCTGCCTTTCAAATCAATAAACCTCTAAAACAAATAAATGAATGCATAAATAATCTTGAAACAAGCCAAGTTCCATGAACAGCAGCAGCAGTGAGAGAATGGGGTGAATCCACAGCCTCAGACAGCGCCATGCTACAAGCGTAACTGCCTGAGGCAAAAAAAAATCAGTGTCGTATCAATAGGTAACATCAACTTCTTGGAAAATTCATGAAGGCAAAACCAAACAAGCCTCTCCTTTGTGAGAAATTGACAATAAGCCACAAAGAACATCTGAAAGAATCAGGACTTCATCATCTCTGAGCGGAGAAGCAGAAAAGATCAGGAACGCACCTGAGCTCACCAAGGCCCATTGATTCACCTGGGTAAAGATCCCATGGCTGTCAAGAATTCTCTTTTCAAGCCTTAACTGAGTAACGCAGGTTCCAAGCAAGACAGTAAACATCTAACACTCAGACCATGGCACATAATTCCTAAATAAGGGGGCAAAGTGTAATTAGAAAACAGCAAGCTTCTACAAAGCACATAAAAGAACCAGCTCTGGGAAGCAGCCAGCTTAGCTCACAGTTTACAAAGGAACCCACATTCAGAAGCTGACACAGGCTTCCATGCCTTGGCAATCACTCTCCATGTGGAAATGGGAGGCTTATGCTAGTTAGAGAATCAGAAAAACATACATAAGCAGCCAGAAAATCTAACTCAGAAAGCTGACATTTCTACTTTTCCTTCTCAGCAGTGTGGAATGATCAATCGGCTTGATTCAGAACAGCAACCCAACAATCATCCAAAATCAGTTTAATGTTCTAACCCAGGGTGTTTTTGTTTGACATCACATTTAACACTAAATGTGCAATTCTCCAACACCTATTATTGCTGACCAATTCAACTGTTATACCATCTCCAGTTAGCATGGGCCTCAAAGGTTAAAGGCTTGGTGCCAATACATATTCCTATGCAGATGCCACATCACATGACTTAGCTAGGGTGGTTTTCTTTGGCCTGAAGCTTTTCTCCCTTCACAAGGTTTTCTCCCTTCACAAGGCATGAGTACATGAATCCCTTCTGTCTTAGCCCTTCCATGTCAGCCTCTAATTTAACTAATAATTCGTCTCCAAGGAATGGGAACTAGAGTGAAGTGTAGAACATTTCCCAAGGCATTAGGAATATAGATGGAGGGTATACAGCAGAGACCCCCAACCTCGGGGCACCAGCTACTCCCAGGGCAAGCCCGCCTTCCTCCTGCTGCTCTCCAAGCAGACACAGTGGCTGCCATTCACTCCACACTCCTAGGGACTGTGACCACTGGGGCATCTTGGGGCATTACCCGCAGGTAGTTTCAAATACCAGGACACGGAAAAAAGTAACAGGTTTCTTGAGAAGACATCACTCTGAATTTTCCAACAACCTCACATCTATGACATTCTGACAGGATGACCTTTAGGAAAACATGTCTCATGCTGACTGGTCTGTATTACTAGAGGTATAAATTTTTATTTAACTTTTAGTTCTCATTCTTCATTGCTTATCTTTAGTAAATGTGAACATCGAATATCATAATACTCATAGGTGATTAATCATTTTTCATCAGTTTTTTTTAGAGAAACATGTAGTTTTCTTTTTTTAAATCCTGCTATCATTCCATGTGGAACTTCCAACCTCCAGAGCCATGAGTCATAAGGTACTATCACTTAAACCACCCTATAAGTTGTAATTTATTATAGGAACCATGACAAGTAAGTATATTCTCATCTTTGTCTACTTTTCCTGCAGATAGCTAGAAGGTCCATGCTATGATGTAACAGCAATACAGATATTAAAACTGTGACTTCACATGTCATTGCGCCTATGCCAGGAAAAGATAGAAAAAAGAAGCCAAGAATAAATAAAAAATTTGTAAAAATCTAGACATAGAAGAAAAATAAAAAGTGAATGAATATGCATGTATTAAATTTTGAAAACTCCATAATCTGATAAAATTGGAAGTCTAAAATTTACCTAAAAGTGGTATCATTAAAAGCTATTTAAGGTATACAAGTTTCATGTATTTCATATAGATAGATTTAGGAACATAGTGATGTTTCCCATTCCAGTCTCCATCCTGCCCACTCCCATCCTTCTTCCTCTTCCCTCTGCCATTCCCACTCATTTATTTACAAAGATACATTTTCAGTTTATTTTATACTCATAAGATTCATCCTACACTAGGTAAAGAGTTCAACAAATAGTACGAAGAAAAAAACACTGTTCCTCAATAGTAGAGACAAGGGCCGTAGATGTTCCTCAAATCTTAAAGTGTCAATTTCACTCGGTATGCATTACATTTTAGGTATTCTATTAGTAACCACGGGTCAGGGGAAATGTATGGTATCTGTCTTTTAGGGACATTATGCTTATTTCACTAAGCATAATGGTTTCTACTTGCAACCATTTTGTTGAAAAAGACAGTAGTTTATTTTTTTAACCATTGAATAGTATTCCATAGTGTATATATACCATCATATTTTTTATCCAGTCTTCAGTTGATGGACATCAGAGTTGAACAAAGCTGGAGGCAACACAATACCACTTTCAAGACATATTACAGGGCAGTTAAAATCAAAGCATCCTAGTACTGGCCAAAAAAAATAAAATAAAATGTGTAGACCAATGGAACAGAATAGAAACTCCAGAAATCAATCCATGCACGCATCTATAACCAACTTACCTTTGACAAAGGAGCTAAAACCAACCCCTGGAGGAAGGGCAGTCTTGTCAACTGCCCCTACTCCCACTCTACCCCTAGCCCTCCTAAGATAAAAAAGGCTGGTTGCTTGTGTCTGGGGCCTCCTGCCATGTGTTCCACCAATGTGCACGCCTACAGTTGGTCACCCACCTCTGTGGATTTATTTTCTCTGAAAAAAATCAGTCTAATAATATAATAATAATATATTATTATATATTATTATTAATCATAAATCAGTCTAATAATCATACAGTCATTTGGGGCGTGAACCAGCAGATGGAAGACACCCTCTCTCTCTCTGGCTCTACCTCACTCTGTAACTGTCTTTCAAATAAATAAAATAAATATTTTCAAAAACCCATGGCATTTTTAAAGCTAAAATATGGGTTATTATTTGCCTTTTGTAACCTGTGATTTAGTCCACATGTATTTTTTATTTTATTGCTGTATCATACAGCTCTAGAATTTCCATTGTTTTTCCAGTTGTTTTTTCTACTAATAATTTTGATATATCATCCTTTATATTATAAACATATAGTATAAGTATAGCATAAACATCTTATATTTTACTTTCAAAATCTGGGTTAACTTAAGTTTCTTTCTAGTGATTCTTTTTCCTTTTGATTATAATCACATTTTTTTCTTTACCTGGGTGGGGGTTGATTCTGAATTTTTTCTTGGATATTATAAATTATGTTATAGAAATTGAGTACTGTTATATTTCTCAAATGATTTTTGTTTTACAATGTAGTCAATAGTCTAAAGTCAAATTCCAAACTCTGCATTCCTTGCAGTGATAAGTAATTAACTTTTTTAAAAAAAGATTTATTCATTTATTTGAAAGGCAGAGTTACACAGAGAGAGGGGAGGCAGAAAGAGAGAGAAGTCTTCCATCTGAGGGTTCATTCCCCAATTGGCCACAATGGCTGGAGCTGAGCTGATCTGAAGCCAGGAGCCAGGAGCTTCTTCCAAGTCTCACATGTGAGTGCAGGGGCCCAAGGACTTGGGCCATCCTCTACTGCTTTCCCAGGCCATAGCAGAGAGCTGGAGCAGCTGGGGCACAATCCGGCACCCATATGGGATGCCAGTGCTTCAAGCAAGGGAATTATCTGGCTGTGCCACAGGACCCACCACTATTAACTTTATTTCATCCATTTATTTTACTAGCACAGAGACAGCAAGACAGATAACCTAACTGACAGACACAGGTTTCACATCCACAAATGCCTGAAAGACCTGTGGGTGCCCCAATTCAGAGCTAGAAGCTGGGAACCTAATCCAGGTCTCCCATGGGTGTGGCAGGGACCAGATTACTTGAGTCACTACCTGCTGCTTCCCACGGTGCACATTAGCAGGAAGATGGAATTGGAAGCAAAGTTAAACCATGAAACCACACATCTGAATATGGGCTACAGGCATCCCAAATGGTACCATCACCACTGCACCAAACACCTAGTTCTCACAACTTCAATCCTTTCATGGATGTCTACATGATGATGGTTTGTTATCTTATTTATGTAAAAAATTCACCATTGTTTTTAGGGAAATCAAAAGAACTATGTGTAAAATATGACCATATACATGCAGGCAGCAGAGCATCTAGTTTAGCATCTGGGCCCAAATCTGTCTCAGTCTACAGTGTGTGTTACAGAACAGGGACAAACCATGCACATGTTTGCTTCTCTGTGCCTTGTCTACTCCAGATAGCAGTTCCACTTTTAGGTGAGTAGAAGAATCTGATCACTTCTTCTCTACTACAGCCTTTCAGGGACTTGAATTTTATTCTTCTGTACCTTCCTTGCTTTTCCCAGTCAGTTATTATTATTATTTTTTTTTTTTGACAGGCAGAGTTGACAGAGAGAGAGACAGAGAGAAAGCTCGTCCTTTTGCCATTGGATCACCCTCCAATGGCCACCGCGCTGCAGCCAGCGCACCGTGCTGATCCGATGGCAGGAGCCAGGTGCTTCTCCTGGTCTCCCATGTGGTGCAGGGTCCAAGGACCTAGGCCATCCACCACTGCACTCCTGGGCCACAGCAGAGAGCTGGCCTGGAAGAGGAGCAACCAGGACAGAATCCCGTGCCCCGACCAGGACTGGAACCTGGTGTGCCGGCGCCGCAGGCAGAGGATTAGCCTAGTGAGCCATGGCGCCGGCCTTCCCAGTCAGTTATAAGATATAGATGTCCACACAGAAATGGTTACATTGCCAGACCTCTTTAAGTATGGGGCATCAAGCAAAAGAGAAAAGCAGTGAAACAAAAATTGGTTTGTTGCAGAGGTCAACAAGATGGGATGATTTTTCTTAGACCAAGACCAAAACAGAAGAGACACAGTTCATAAACTAAGAAATGAAGAAGGGTATATTGCCAATAATTTTACAGAAATTTAAAAGATTATAAAGGAATACTGTGAATCAAGATGTCAAAAGATCCAACAATTTATATGAAATACATACATTGCTAGAAAATTACAAATTGTCACTCTCAAGAAGAAACTAAAAATATTAGTAGCCTAAAGCAGTCAAAAATCAAATAATAATAATAATAAATGTAATTAATAATTTAAAACATTACCACGAAGTCCTGACCAGATGCTTTCCTTTGTGAATTCTATCAAACATTTAAAGAAGTAATAACAATATTTTTCAGACTCTACCAAAACACAAAACTCTACCAACATATTTACACTTGCCAACTCATTTTCTTTCTTTCTCTTTCTCTTTCTCTTTTCTTTCTTTCTTTCTCTTTCTTTCTTTCTTTCTTTCTTTCTTTCTTTCTTTCTTTCTTTCTTTCTGACAGGCAGAGTTAGTGAGAGAGAGAGAGAGAGAGAGAGAGAGAAGTCTTCCTTCCATTGGTTCACTCCCCTAATGGCCGCTACAGCCGCCGCTATGCTGATCCGAAGCCAGGAGCCAGGTGCTTCCTCCTGGTCTCCCATGCAGGTGCAGGGACCCAAGCACTTGGGCCATCCTCCACTGCACTCCCAGGCCACAGCAGAGAGCTGGACTGGAGGAGGAGCAACCAGGACTACAACCCAGGGTACCGGCGCCGCAGGTGGAGGATTAGCCTAGTGAGCCCATGGCGCCGGCTTAATACTTAAAAAACAATGAGTTCAAATGAATTGTATTGATATCCTAAAAGTCGACAATAGCAGGTAACTGGATCACAAGCAGAGGAGCTGGGCCTCAAACTGGCGGTCCAATACACGATGCAGGCCCCCTAGCTGTGGCTTACCCTACTGCACCGCAACACTGGCCCCAACAGATTCACTTTAACATACCATGCTGATTGAGAAGAAAAATTGCATTCTTAGCAAAAAAAACCTCAGCAAGAGACCTGGAAACATCAACTCAGCATCGTCCCCCTGCAGGCTGTGCTCTGGCCTCCCTGGCCTGGAGGTAAAGGGGAAGATGATCAAGCTCGCCACTCACTGTACTTTGCCCAAGGCCATGGCCACAGATTCCAGAGCCGACCACGGGGAAGTGCAGGGCCCCCTGCATCCAGTTCCAGCAGGTCCGCCAACTCCGCCTCCCCTTCTCCAGACACCAAACTTCTGAGCCGTCCGGCTTCCTTTTCACAGACGGGAAGAGGCTGAACACCCTGGCCCCCTGGGCGGCAGAGCCTGACTACCACTGTGACGCGAAGAGCCCGCGTGTTTACGTAATACTGCGCGGGCGCACCTGATTGGATTGTTTGCAAAGCTGGAGGGGGAGCGTTCGACGTCACAAAGGTGTAGCCAATCAGAGGAGGGTGGTGACTTGGGGTGTGCAGTGTGGGGGTTGTGAGGGGAGAAGCTTGGGCTGTGGTCTGAAGCCGCCTCCTCCCCCTTTCTGTCTTCCCCTGCAGCCCAGGCCGCTGCACCTCTGTTCCCACAGGGATCCGTGAGCTGGAGCCTGCAATGACCTGCTGCAGGCGAGTCTCTATTTGCTGACTGTGACTCCTGGGCCCTTGTCTTTCTTCACATTCCTGGGTCATTCTTCTGTATGGTCATTTACGTTCTATAAATTGATTTGAAGAGTGCATAAAGGTATTAGATGATTGAATCCTTTTCTGATTCATTTCTCTTGTAAATATGTGTTTCCTAGTCTGTCTTTTGTCCACTTTGTTTCTCGCTGGTACTTAGTAATCCAATTGGCTTTATATGTGGATCTACTGCCCAGAAGTGTTGCTATAGCTAATTATCAGTTGCATTTGTTTTGGGATTAGATTGAATTATCTTTGTATGTAATGTCATCCACATATATTAACAATTGTATTGCAAAAAATGTGATTCTTTTATCTTACATGTCTTTGTTTCCCTGACTATAGGTCCAGTACAATGTTATGAGAGGTGGGCGTCCAAGGAAAGATCTCTCAGTGCTCCTTAAGTAATTTATTGCATGCTAATTTTACATAATCTTGATCTGATTAAGCAAATCATTATTTTTAAATATTTTGCAAACATTTGGCTTTTATGGCTGGATGCAGAATTTTATTAAATGCTTTTTAAACATTTAATCTAAGTGATCATATAATCCCTTGTATTCTTCACCTACCTGGATGATTTACATGGTTTTTTGAGAATGTTGAATACTCTTACACTTTTTAGTGTATCTTGCTTGTCATTGATCTATTAGTTTTTCATATGTGGTTTATATAATATTTTAAAATATTTATTTATTTGATAGGCAGAGTTAGAGAGAGGCAGAGACAGAGAGAGAGACAGGTCTTCGTCTGTTGGTTTACTCCTCAAATGGCTGCAGTAGCTGGAGCTGGGCTGATCCAAAGCCAGGAGCCTGGATCATCTTCCAGGTCTCCCACAGAGGTGCAGGGGCCCAAGGATTAGGGTCATCTTCCACTGCTTTTCCAGACCATAGCAGAGAGCTGGATTGGAAGTGAAGCAGCCGGGATGTGAACCTGTGCCCAGATGAGATGCTGGCACTGCAGGCAATGACTTTACCCACTATTCCACAGCAAGGGGCCCAAATTTATATAATATTTGGTTAGTATATTTGCATATTGGGGCCGGCACTATGGCGCATCAGGTTAAAGCCCTGGCCTGAAGTGCTGGCATCTCATATGGCACCAGTTCTAGTCCCAGTGGTTCTAGTCCCAGCTGCTCTGCTTCCAATCCAGCTCTCTGTTATGGCCTGGGAAAGCAGTAGAAGATGGCCCAAATCCTTGGGCCCCTGCACCCACATGGGAGACCTGGAAGAAGCGCCTGGCTCCTGGCTTCAGATCAGCACAGCTCCAGCCATTGAGGCCATCTGAGGAGTGAACCAGTGGATGGAAGACCTCTCTCTCTGTCTCTACCTCTCTCTGTAACTCTGTCTTTCAAATAAATAAAAGAAATCTTTAAAAAAAGAATATTTGCATATCTTTTTGAACAAGAGGCTCTTTAATTTCACTTTAATTTGTATCATATTCCGAGTTTCATCATCTGTGTAATAGTGGTTTCCCAAAAGAAATTTTAAAATATTCTACTTATTTTCACTTGGGACAAGTGTGGGGAACAAATGTTTTTTCCTTCCTTGAAAGTTTGGAATATTCCATAAGTCATTTTCAACTTCTTCAAAAATTGGCTCAGTTTGTTAGTTTGTATAGTTTTTTAATTCTATGTTATATTTGTGTTTCGGGAAACTGTTTTTCAGAATATAGTGGATTTTAGTGTCTGTAGTTAAATTTTCACCCCTAAGAATTTCATAAAGCTCTCTTAGCACCTTTGTAAGTTCTATGAACTCTGTAAAGATGATTCTGTTTCAATTTCTTGAGAGTGCCTATTGGCTAATTAATTTTCTTAATATTTTTAAGATTTTTTTGTGATGGCCTTTCCTTTCACTGAATGTCAAAAACTACAATTATATCCATATATCATTAATATGTTGTGGCACAACATGTTAAGCCACCAGCCACAAGGCCAGCATTCCATGAGTCCCAGTTCCAGTCCTGGCTGCTCCATTTCTGATTCAGCTCCCTGCAAATACATCTAGAAAAATAGCAGAGGATGACCCAAGTAATTGGGCCCCTACCACCCACATGGTAGACCTGGATGGGGTCCCAGGCTCCCGGCTTTGGCCTTGCCAAGCCCAAAGTGGAGGCCATTTAAGGACTGAACTAGTGGATGACATATTCTCCCTCACGCTCTCTGTCTGTCTCTCTCTCCATATATATATACATATATATACACATATATATGCATATATATTTATTTATCTTCCTCCATCCCTCCCTCTCTGCTGTAAACCCTGCTTTGCTAATAAATAAAATAAACCTTTTTAAAAATAATATCGGGACATAGAAGAAGAAGAAGAACTGAAACAGGAACAAGAACAAAAACAGAAACAGGACTGACAGAGGAAGGAGAGGAAGGGAACAATCAATGGAGTCACACCACTGTGTCAGTTTCCGGGATGGCTCCCAGTGACTCATGTCCTGGTGCTCCAGCCCCAGTGCAGTCATTTCCCACACTGACTAGGACTCACCTACGTAATCTAGAAGATATTCCAGAAACTATGGAGTGGGACTTATGAGGCCAGATCCTAAAAGATATTTAAATTTCTCCTTTGCTCTCTTTTAAATAAGTTCTGGAGAATAAGCCAGCATCGCAACTTTGGGAGCGCTCAGACAGCCCTCACAGAGAAATCCACATGGTGCACAACTGAGGCCGACTGCTAACAACCAGCACTGCGTTTCTAGGCACGCGAGTGAGTGTACTGGACGTGAATCTGCCAGCCTCAGCCATACCTTCAGATGACTGCAGCCCAGCCAACAGCTCGATGCAGCTGCTTGTGGAAACCAGGTACAGAACTATGTATGTCCACATTTCTGGATTTCTCACCCAGAGAAGATGGTGTGTTTCTTGCTTTTAAGCTATTAAATGTGGGGGAAATGGTGTACAGTAATAAATAACTGTGAATGGTAGGTGAAATAAGGTCTAAAGAATTACCATTTAATTTTGTTCATTTAGTTTAACTTCTTGAAGGTTATTAGTGACCTTGAAAAGAGCAGTGCAGCAGAGTATGTGATAAAAGCCTTATTAGAGTGTGTTCAGAGGGACTGAGAGAAGAGAAAGTGGAGAGAGAAACTGCAGGTAATTCTTTGGTGATTTTTTCTGTACAAAGGAACAGAGAATTGGGGCAGTGGCTGAAGGGAAAAGGGTGCTCAGGTTTTGCTTTTGATTTACCAGATAATGTAGCCTGATGTATAAGCTGCTGCTGCTGATTTAAGATATTGGCAAAAATTTCAGTTAAATGTGTAAATGGCTGGTAGGTCCACTGTCCTTGAGTAGTTGAGTGAAAAAAAGATCTAGATCCGTGTCAAGGAATGGGCCACGAGAGGACAGACAGTTCATATTTAATAGGGGAAGGGCAGGCAGAGTACCCACTGCTCCTATTAATGGGTAGGTGTGGTGGTGGGTGCCCTTATTTATTCTGCTTATTGAGAAGCAATGTCATCAAAAGCGAGTGAGAAGGAGAGAAGGTAAAGGAGATTAGAGACGGTGTTGGAGTCATCCATGACAGCACACTGGGATGTAAGTACACTTTCCCAGGGAGTCACAGCAAGGATAATTTAATCAAAATCAGTACCCAGGTATTCAATTTCCATAAATTCCTTTCATACAGTTTTCTCTTTCCCTAAAATAGAATGCCACCTAATGGGTACAGAGTTTGGGCTTAGCAGATGAAAACATACTGAAGATGGTAGTGAAGATGGAATTGCAACAGTGTGAATGTACTCACTGCCATAGAGTTACAGACACACACGAGTGATTAAAATGGTCACAAAAGTCCATATGATAGTATTCAATTCATATGAGAGTCCAGAATAGGAAAATCTAGAGATGGAGGAGGAGGAGGTGGAAGAATAACGATATTCCTGAAGTTGTACTTATGAAATTTGTATTACTTAAAAAATAAATTTAAAAAAAATTAAAGAGCTCAAAGCATGCAAATAAAAAAATCTACAGAGACATATCGTAGATTAGAATTTGAGTTGAGGCTGGCGCCGCAGCTCAATAGGCTAATCCTCCGCCTGTGGCGCCGGCACCCTGGCTTCTAGTCTTGGTTGGGGAGCCGGATTCTGTCCTGGTTGCTCCTCTTCCAGTCCAGCTCGCTGCTGTGGCCCGGGAGGGCAGTGGAGGATGGCCCAAGTGCTTGGCCCCTGCACCTGCATGGGAGACCAGAAGGAAGTACCTGGCTCCTGGCTTTGGATCAGCGCAGTGCGCCAGCCACAGCACACTGGCTGCAGTGGCCATTGAGGGGTGAACTAATGGAAAAGGAAGACCTTTCTCTCTGTCTATCTCTCTCACTGTCCACTCTACTTGTGAAAGAAAGAAAGAAAGAAAGAAAGAAAGAAAGAAAGAAAGAAAGAAGAAAGAAAGAAAGAAAGAAAGAAAGAAAGAAGGAGAGAAAGAAAGAAAGAAAGAAGAAAGAAAGAAAGAAAGAAAGAAAGAAAGAAAGAAAGAAAGAAAGAAAGAAAGAAAGAAAGAAAGAAAGAAAGAAAGAATTGGAGTTGAATAGGGGCACTTTCAAGAATAAGGGATTAATAAAGGGCACAGGGTTTCTTTGTGAGATGAAATGTTCTAAAATTCATTGTGAACATATCTGAGAATATGTGAAAATCATTGAATTATATGCTGTAAGTGGGTGAATGTTATGTGAATTGTTTCTCAACAAAATTCTCTTTTTTAAACATATTGACTAACTACTGATATAGGTTACATGAATGAACCTCAAAAACATGTCAAATGAAAGAAGCCAGATGAAAGAGACTCCTTATTTAATTCCACTTACATTACATGTGATTTTTGGAAAGAGAATCAGATGTCAAGTGGCATGGATGGGCATACCTCTTGTTCCCTTCCCACCCTTCAGACTCATACCACTCCAAGTAACTTTTC